GCATTTAGGGTGGCAAGTCAACCTTGAAGAAAAGAAACATTTGGTTTTATGAGCATGAAAAGTAGTGATGATGGCTATGGAAATTTTTTGGTAGTAGGAGGTTGAGGAATAGCAGAAGAGATATATCCATTTCCCCAATAAAATGGATATTAAAATCACCTGCTGAGAGTACAGAACATGTAGGTTTATAAAGAAGCCTGAATAGGTTTGAAATTACTCTTGAAATAAATAGGACCATGGTTAATCAGGCTCATGGTTAAAGACAGGCAAGTGATCATTTACTAAACATGATATTTTAAAAACCCTCAATGTAATTTTTTTCATAAGGTTATTTATTTTATAATTTGCTTTATGAGTTCAAATTTAACTCAACAGTGATCTGAAGTAAGGCAGTGTTTATTTTCCTTATTTTCTCAAATTGAGGTGATGTCCTCAATGGGTGAAATCTCCCAAGCATCATCTTGTATTTGTTTAATTTTTGCTTATATATTTTGTTATACACATAAAAAATACTGGTCGGGCATAGTGGCTCATGCCTGTAATCCTAGTGCTTTGGGAGGACAAGGCAGATGAATCACAAGGTCAGGAGTTTGAGACCAGCCTGGTCAACATGTTGAAACCCTGTTTCTGCTAAATACAAAAATTAGCCAGGTGTGGTGGTACACACCTGTAGTCCCAGCTACTTGGGAGGCTAAGGCAGGAGAATTGCTTGAACCTGGGAGGTGGAGGTTGCAGTGAGCAGAGATTGCACCACTGCACTCCAGGCTGGGTGACAAAGCAAGGCTCTGTTTCAAAAAAATTTTTTTTAATTTTAAAAAATACCCCTTATCAAAAGCAAAAGCTTTTTCTTTTTCACCTTAAAAGAACCCTGCCTGGTAGGTATTACTTTTCCCGCTATATAGATGAAGAAACTGAGTATCTGAGACGGACAAAAATAACACATCCTGTATTTACCAGTAGGTAGAAGTGTCAATATTCACTCCCAAGTGTTTTTCTTGTCAAAGTAGAATTGTTCCACTATGTCATAAATTGTTTTAACTGAAGATCAAAGATAACTTGAATTTAATTTTTTGCCCATGTTTGTTTTGTATTTAAGAAACATAAGTAAGATTACCCCAAATCTACAGGGGGAGGAGATTACAATAATCAAAAGAAAATCACTTAAAAGAGTCACATGAACACTATTTTTTAATCAGAAGCTGTTTTAGACATTACACTAATAACTTTCCTTAATTTATAAGCTTATCAAGCTTTACAAAAAAATTTAAGAAATACAATCTAACTAAAAAAGGATTCTTACTGATAAGCTAAACGTAGTTAACTCACCACAAGTTTGCATTTGTGATAAATATTAATCCCTGTTCTCTTAATATTTTTAAGAACCCATTTTTATCTGCAAAAAAAAATGCCAATTCTAAATGGCAGGTCAAACTTTTCACTAAAGTTTGAAAATAGCACCTACAGCTTTTCAAAAACCAAACTGCTAGAGTATTTGGCAATATTTGACATGTCATATGATGAGTCAACCAAAACAGTTATGAATCTTCCAGTGCTTGCAAAGATTTCAGGCTAGAAAATCTTGCCCAAAGCACTCTGAATTGGGCAAAAAATTTATAATTCTCCTTAGAGTATAGAATCACCATAAATGAATCTATAAATCTGAACAGATCTATGTCTGTCAGCAGACATAGAATATTTCCAGACAATATTTTCATGTATATACATTTTTTGGCCTCAAGTATTAATAGTATATCAACAGACTTAAGAACATAAATCTGTCTCCAGTACCCAAAATAAAGTATATTCCTCAAATTACATTTTAGTGCCATAAATATATTATTAATCATTAAACTCGGAAAGAATGAAAAAAGTTTTAAAAATGTGCAGCGATTGATTTTTTGTTCCAAATATACAAACATCACTTCATTATATCATCAGTATTCTGAGACTTAATTACAATGCAAAGAAACATATAAATCACCTAGCCCAACTCCTTAATTTGAGAGACAAGGAAACAGGGAAAGAAAATTTACACAGATTCACTTGAAGTAAAAGTGGAATTCAAATCCAGGTATCTATATTGACAGTTTAATGCACTTCCCAGAAGTAGCATAGATATAAATAACCTCATGGAATTTCATCTGGCAACCAAATTCAGAGGCTGAGTAGAACATAAAGGATGGTGCTGAGTTTGCCGTTTTATCATATTCAAAAGCACCTACCATAACAAGTGGATGGCTAAACAACATTATAACACAGAATGAACATTATTTTGATTATTTAAGCATGTCATAAACAAACTTCAAACTATATTATTCAAGATCTCTTTTTAGTAACAATCAACTGAAATCACCTCCACTGAAAACACACAGCAGAAACAGGTGACATAAACTACAATAGACACCCCCCTAACCAAAACCCCAAATAACCATCCAGCTAGTACATTCAACCCCACAGCCTTCAATTCTACATGAAACAGTGGCAATCGAGCACTGATTTTCATCTATCACCAATCAAAACGCAAAATAAATCACTGCAAAAGCTCATTGGTTTATATTACTGCCTTTATATATATTAGCTTCCGGAAAATCATTCTGAAGAACTGAATCATCTGTATCATTTTTATTACTCACTCAGGCTTGACACTGTCTGCACAGTACTGACTGAAATGTACTTCAGTATGCACCTTCTTTCTAAATGAATATCTATGTCAGGTTTATTTATAGCCACTGCCTTCAATCAATGCATTCTCAGGTATGAGAAATAAATCATCTCACTGATACTCTTCTATAGCGATCTGAAACAAAGCATGGACATCTTGGCAAGTGGCCTTTGGAAAGATAATGAAAGATCTATACCATAAAATATACATTAACATTATTGAGATTCCAAGAACAATTATCTTACACTCTTTAATAAGCACACATAAAGAGCCCCAGGTACAATTAGAGAAGTAATCTAAAACCTATGCATCCTTTTGCATAACTCTTTATGTACCCCAAGATTATTATAACCTCCTCCATTCTCTTTTCCTCATTCTGATTTCTCTGAAATTTGGGCACCCTCTTTGTTCCTTACTTAGCTTTTCTCTATTTAGGAGCTTTTCCTTCTAATTCTTTACAAAAGCAGGGCATGCTTCCCCCTGCTGGGATAAAATCAAATTACAAGGTACCTTCGAACATGTTCCTAAGTATTGTATCAAGAAATCAAGTTCCTAGGAAAGATAAAATGTTAAGGAACCAAGTGCATAGCCTTCACTGACTGTTTTACCATCTACAGAAATACTTATGCACTCTTTTAAGAGTTTCTTGTATGCCTTTATTCAGCTTGGCATCTTCAGGTACAGTAACTCACATTAACAGCTGATGAATTAATCTTTGAGCTACCTGTCTCAAATAGAACTCCAATTAGCAGGTCAGAGAAAATGATCAATTTGTAACTTTTTTTTTTTCATTTTAAAGGCATTATCAGCTACATGAAGAAACTTCCAGAAAATACATTGAAGACTATTCAAAATATATTAAAGACTACTGAATATTGATAAGACTTGCCTTTTAAGTCGTTTCAAAAAACCTTAAACATCCATTAACTCATTGTTTTCCTATTATTTTTATGTAGTTATCTTCTTAAAGAAATTTTCAAAAGTTCATTTTTATTGACTTACTTTTCCACTTTAATTTCTATTTTTTATTCAATAACCAAGAAAGTAGTAAGCATAATTGTATTTCAACTTCCCACTTACCTATAAAATCTGCTTTTTCCCTGAAAACAATTTAGTTATTTCACATATTCCATGTTTTGAGTATAAACCTTATCCTAATTGTTTAGCATTTAAATATAGAAACATATCTTACACTTCATTATTATAAATAACAATCCATCAATTAAAAATATATAGCTAATGCCTTGTTGAATCATACATTGAGGAGCAGAATTTATTCTTCCATGGTACAACTAAGTCTCAAAAAAAATCTTTTAATACGGAGGAGCTTGGGTAGAGGAAGTTATCCCTTTTAGGTTTTTGCTGTAGGTAAGTCCAGAACAACCTTAGCTACAAAATTACATTGTGAACAATTTGATGATGAAGCAATTCGTTATTAATGAAGCACTCATCCAAAAAAATCTGCAGATGTTTTAAAAAGGCATGTGTAAATAACTATAGACATCATAGTTGTCTTTAGTAGTTAGATGGCATAATTATAACATAAATGGAGTAATTTGGTTAAGCTCGTATGTCTTTTTTTTTTTTTTTTTAAAGAAAAAACCTTTCAAAGCAATGCAAAAGACAAGACATATATATTCCTCTGGGAATGAAATCTCCTTTAACGTTGCAGGTACACAAAAGAAAATGCACACTTGGTAAAACAGTTGATCAATTATGGAGTGTTCCCAGGGACCAATGTCTCACAGAGTACCCAATCATCACACTTCAAATAAATGTGTAAGCACTTTAGCCTCTGCTTTCCACATTGAAATATGTATAAGAACATGCATAGTTTAATTCTAACACTTTTCATAGGAAAGACTTTGATTAAAGGGTATCAAACATCACTTCCTAAATGCAGCAAACAAACAAACAACAACAATCAAAAAAAAAAAACAAATGCTTATCTGTAGCTAAGAAGCTCTTAGAACACTACATTGATTACCATTTACTTCCAAACTGCTTTCCCCTCCCTCTGCAAAGTGAAAATGTCCCTGTGGACCGCGTTACACTTCATGGTATCTCTATCTATGATCCTAAGAGGTCACATCGCTACTGCCATTAGATCTCAGTAGCTTTGGTCTTCTCCAAATTAAGACATGGAGAAAGAGCACAGCTGTCCTCCCCAAGAACCAAGAACCGGGTCTGTCCCCCCGAGCTCCGAGAGGAGCATCTTCAGGGGACAGTTTCTGCGAAGGCAGCGACAGGAGTCCCTCCCCAACTTCACTCTCCTAATCAAGCCGCGGGCAAGATGGGCAGCCGGCGCTTAGTGCCCATCGGTGGGGGCAAGTCCTACCTTCTGCCAAAAGGCGCGATGCATGCACAAAAGATGGATCCAGGCTATCTTTCTCTGCCATCAGCTCAGGCAAATATTTCTCCTCTTCCATAGCGCGGACTTCGGACTGTCCCCGGGCGAAGCGCGAGGTTCCGCTCGCTTGGGTGCAGGGTCGCGGGGCACAGCCTGGCTCCCGCGCTGCTCCTCCGCGCGGCGAGGGGATCTCTGCGCGTCCTCACTGGCCCATGCGCCCAGCGCCTGCGACTCCCGCCGTCGGGCTGCGTGGCCCCGCGCCCACACCTGCCCGTCCCTTCCGTCGTCTCTCGCTCGCGCCGAGCCCCGGCTCACACCAGCGGCCTTAACTGGAGAGGCGGGAACACGACGCGGCCCACCTCCGCCAGCCACTCATTGGTGGTGGTGCCAGAAGAGGCGGGGCGCTCGCGAGGGCCGCAGGCCTTCATTGGGCCGTGGAGCACGTCGGGTCGCCTGACTGGCATGAGGCAGCTGCAGAGGGGAGGGGAGGTTGGAAGGTGCAAACGCTTTCTTCTCGCAGCCCAAGCCTTCCCTGGCTATTAGGCATGCCCAGTTTTGTGGGGCTCTCTGTGTCTTCATCTAAGGTGCAGAGGAGCGAGAGGACGGGAAAAGCGCAGGTTAAACAGAGAGGCCTGAGTCAAAGTGGACAGGGGAGATGGAAATGAGAAGTGAGCCGCGGAGAGGGTGGAAAAGCGCCAGGGAAAGTCTCAGGATGGCTGCTGAGACTTCACCTGCGTCCCTAAGGCACAGGTGTCTCCTTTTCCTCACACAGCTCAGACTCACTCCAGTTGCGCAGGAATCAGCAGCGCACTGGGTCTGGAAACATAATGAAGACTGCATGTGATCGGCAGCTGGTATTTCCGATGACCTACATCTCAGGGACGCAGTAGGATGTTCATTGATAAACAAATAAGGCGTCTCGGAGCAATATTGTACAGAAACATGCTTCCGGTGTACAATCATTGGGATATCGAATTAGTTGTGATAACCTATCCTGGCCTCCTTTCCCCTGACCCTATCTGTGGAACGAAGGTTGAGAGAGGCTGAATTTAAAAACATATATATATATAACATGTGTGTGTGTGTGTGTGTGTGTGTATGATCAGTCACTCTTTGTGAAGGAATTGGGAAGACGTAGAAGAAAGAAGAGACAAGAAAATAGATAACTATGTTTGCTCTAATTCTCCCGTTTCTCCTCATTGTAGATGTGCCGGTCTCTTTCACCAGGTACTGTTGCTGAGCTACTTTGTATTATCTATTACACCTGTATTTAAAGGAAAGTTAAACCCTCATGATACCACCAACCGTGGAGGCAAAGTCCATCCTCCTCTTACCAATGCGGCCATAAAACGTAACTTGAATACCTCAAATGATAGGAAACAATCTTTTCCCAAGTCTTGGGTTCTCTTTTCATAAGCAGTCATTTCCCCATTCTTCTCTCCCCATTATTTTCGGTGTGTATGAATGAAGGCCAGCTTTGCCACAAATAAGATACACTGAAATTTTTCCAAGTTATCTTACTGTATTTAAATATTTTCCTTTTTATTTGATTTTTAGATAAATTCAGGAGATTATCTTTCATTTGTGTGATGTTTTAAAAAAAATTAACGTGCCTCACATCCATTATTTCAATTTGTCCTCACAGAAGCACTCAGAAAGATGTGGGCCAAGTATTAGTTTCTCTGTTTTTATATGTGGGAACTGAGGCAAAACAGAACTCGTCTCATGTCTAGTTAATGCTGCAGTTGAGATTTAAGTTCAATTCTATATTAGCACCATTTAGATCCAGATTATGCTGCTTCAATCTACTTTTCTGTATTTTAAATATTTATTTGTGCATATATGCACTCAATAAATGTTTATTGGATACTGAAAAGAGTCTAGGGACAGTATTTAAAAGTGAAGAAACATTGGTGAACAAGATGCACAGATATTCATTCCTTGTCATCAAAAAGATGTTTTCTAATGGGAGACAATAAATAAAACCAAGCACACAAGAGAAGTAGTAACTGTTGGCTGCTATAAAGCTCAAGAAAGGACCAAGGAATTAAGAAAGAGAAAACAAGGGAAGAAATTAGTTTATTTATTTTTGATTTGGATAAACATACAGTCTTGCTAAGTAGCTGATATTTAAGGTGAAAACTCGTGGAAAAGAATGAGCCAAGTCTGTGAAAAACGCAAAGAAAGACATTCTAAGCAGGGGAACTTGCCCCTGAAAAAAAGCCTTGTAATGGGAAAGAGCTGTGCCGACTTTTAGAATTGACTGGAGTCAATGTGACTACTGTGATCGGGGAAAGGATGGATCAATAAGGGTGTGGGATTGATGTGTACAAACACCCAGGATTCGATGGATCCAAATTATTTAGATTTTATTCTAAGGGAATAGGAAACCATAAAGCAGTGGTATGTCTCTTCATGTGCTTCTTAATCTCTTTCTGATTCTTATGTTACTTTCAAAGAAGTTATCATTTAGAATTGAGGATATATATAGAAAGTTCTTGCTATTTTATCGTTTGCAGCATGTTTAGTAGTTGAAGGTTCATGCATCCTGCACCTGATCTGCAATAGGGATACAAAGGGAAAATGTGCTGCCAAACTTCAAAGAGGTGGCTATGATTTGCCATAGCAGTAAAGGGTAAATACAATGGCAACCACAGCCAAAAAACTGTAAATGTTTTGGAATAAATGTAAATTAGAACAAAAATATTTTACAATAATTACAATAACATTTTTCTTGGCAGCATATCAAGTGACTAAAAGCATATCGTGCTGATAAGGATGTGCAGAAATCCATTTTCATGAATGAAAAAGGTTTAGTAACCTTATAATGTCCAGCAACAACAATTACATTATTATTCACAGCCATCTTTTCTATGATTAAAGGGTTAATAAGAAGCTACCCCAGAGAGCTGTCCAAGTGCTGATTTTATCATATAATGTCTTCATGTCATTATAAACACAGTCAAGTTAATTTTTTCTAGTTATTATCAAAATGAAAGATTTATTATTTGTAGTGTCTCATGTAATCCCCCATTAAATACCTAAAATGCATTCTAACAAAAGCAATATATTTATGTAACTTAAAAAATCAAAAGAAAATAAAATCTAATCTTTAGAAAAGTTTGTGTACTTAGTACATGATGGACATTGTAAAATAAAGATATATAAGTATATTAGCCCTTCAAAATCAATATGCTTCAGAATTAACTCACAAAGTATTGCCTATTTTTACACAGAATATGACTACATAAAGACAAACTCCAAGTGCCCTATGTATACACTCATCCAGCATCAGATCCACGTGTTTTCAGTAGATGGCTCTGTGTTACTGCACGTTCTCCATTAATTTCACATGCAAATATTTTATAGGTACCACATTATCATTTAATACTATCAGAAAACCTTGAAAATGCAAACATTTTATAAACAGAAATGTAAATAGAAAAACTTTTTAAAATGATTGTTGAATATAGAATATGTTGTATCTAACCTTGAATAAATTATAACTGCTGGTTAGCCCACCTCTTCTAATGATATAAATAACCTAAATCACCACTAAATTGATTCGTCTAACTTAAATAGAGATTTATCTTATTTTAAACATGAGTTCTAGTCCCAAAACATTTTTAATGGTGTTCTAGTAACTGAACCATTATTTTTAAAATGAGATATTATAGAAAATTTTGCCCCAACCAAATTTGGTTTTGAAGGATCAATAAGTCATGCACCATAGAATATGTTCTGTGGTTAAAGCACAAACTGTGTATTCAATACTTTCACATACCCTTGTAAGAAAGGTCATGCTAAAGGGCATTTAATCAGATGAATCCTTGCAAACTAATAAAAAAAATACCCAGCCTGCATTATCAAATAGAACACAGTTTCTGTTGCTTTTAGAGTTCTCATTAACTTTACGGATACCTCACTAGCTACTCTTGATTAGTTACTCCCAGGATTAACTAACTCTTGACTAGTTACTCTAAGAACTCAGTAAACCCAACTCACAATAAGAACCATATGTTTACCAAGTTGTTCTGGACTAATAATTTACATAATGACAATGGAGAATGAAGGTGTATAACATTCATTTAGTAATCAAATGCCTTGGTGCCTAGAACAGAGTATAATAAAGGACTGTCTCACATTTACTGAAAAGCCTGACAGAGCTCATTATATAAAAGGTGCTATTTTAGTATCTTAATTTCTCATAATTTCACTAACTACACAAGTGAAATCAGTTCCAATTTCTTTTAGAACTTCTATGTTATACTTTAGGATTGTAAGAATGGACAGGGAAATGAGGACTTGGCTCTGCTGTTTACCAATAGTGGTAATAGCATGTGTAGTGAGGAATTTCTAATATGTAGTATGCTCATAGCCAAAATTTATGCTATATGCTAATATATCATTAGTACCACATAAATATTCACCATTTAAAGCTGCCGTGTGTGTGTGTGTGTGTGTGTGTGTTTCCTAAGTGAAAAGTATTCTAGTTATTTAGTAGCATATTATATTTAAACTGACACAAATGTATAATTAAAGAACAACACAATAGAGACAGAAAGAAAATAATTGGCATTTGTTGAGGGTCTGCTGCTGCTAGAACACTGCTGTTCTGAATCCTCACAAGAGGGTGGGAGGAAGAAAGGAAGGAAAGCCAAAGAAGAAACTGTTCTTAATTCTAATGTGACCTAACAGCCCAGAGAAACTATTTCTGAGGTTTAAAGTATCTGTGTTTGGAAAACTGACAGAGTGGATGTCCTTGTATCTCTGTGGACAGTTGTTGCACTGACACATTTCAGGTGGCACTGATGCAGCTGAGGAGCAGTACTTCATTACAGAAAAGGGGAATGAAGCTGTTGTTCCAAGGTGAAAGTTATTGACTACATTCTTAAAATTAAATCCTTGAATTGTTGAATTGTAGCTCAACTATTATTTAGGGAAATCAATATATTAAGGTAAAAATCACATCAGTAAAATACATTTTTCATACACATCAAAGGAAGATCTAGTTTCTGTTGAATTCAGTATGAAATACAAATATGAAGTCTAGAACATGATTTAATAAAACAGTATTAGAGTACATTAAAACTTTTGCCAAGAGGCAGATGTATAAGCAATTGTTTTATATCATGAATAATACAAAAAAGGAAAAGTGGATTAAATTTCTATTTAATTTGAAGATTAATAAAAAACACAAATGAAAAGGATTATTAATATTGAAATAGTATTTTAAGAGAATACCATTCCATTCAAGTTTTTATATTACTACAGACACTTGTTTGGTATAAGTTTTTGTCATTCTGCTCTTTCATATTAAAAGACATCATGCATATGACAATCACTATTAAA